GGCCCTGCGCCGCCCCCTCCCTCAGGGCGGCGCGGCGTTCTCCTAACGCTTCGCCCAGAAAGCGCAAACGACAGCCTGCGGCGGGACAGCAGCGTGTCTTCTAGTACCGTTATTAAAACCTGTCAGCAGCTGGAAGCCTTTCGGTCCGAAGGAGCGTATTACAGGCAGTGGAGACAAAAGCAGTGAACTGGGGAGCGTCACCCCGTATGTGCCAGTTTCTGCTGTAGAGGTTACCAATCATAAACGCGACGTGTGGAAACAAACTCCACAACTCACGGAGAGTTATAAAGCAGGTATATTCATTGCAGCGCTGGGTGCAACCGGGATCACTCCTCCAAACTTGCACACCGTACTGAAGCAGGCTCTCATTTATGATACAAAAACATACATATTCATTAGTGTAGGCTGGGAATAGGCACAACTATGGTAAGTATTTCCGGAAACTCGTTACCATAAGTCGCCTCCTTTTTGCCGCATGCGCATTGCCATCTGGTGGTCGTGGGCCGGGGTCTTCTGGAGGAAGGCTCGTAGTCTCCCTCACAGTGTAATTTGAGCCTTTAGCTCAAAAATGCTGATGTGGCTGAGCTACGGGCAGCGAGACCAGTTCTCACCAGATGGCTACTCCTCACAGACAATAAGGCTTTGAATAGCCGTTCCCCTTTTCTTTATGGCTCCGCTGCTTCTAAGGTCGGGCTGCCCTAGTGTCATCATTCAGGTGCCTCTTATCTATATAATTCTCACTTGTGACAGGGTTTCGGTATCTTGCTAAGCTATTTGCTATGTTGCAATGTCTAACTGGATGTTATTTCCCATATCAAAGGTTGGTTGTGGCCCCTACTCCTTTTAAACACATACATGTAAAGTTCTTCATTAAGTGTGCAAAACGTGGCTTAGCTGCTTAAATCCCCAACCCATATAATTCATTGTTTAGAGCTTTTAAAAAGGCAGAGACAAGCACTAACCTCCTCCCCACTGTATTTCAGGTAAGCAATCGCTATGTGACAATGCCCATGAGCAAAGCAAGATGAAATTTAATACCAAAATTGACAGGTTTTTGATGAACTGAGTTGCCTTGTGTTGTGAAGTTTTCTTCCAGGAAGAGTTACTATGTGGGTTACTTAAAGTGTTTATGGTGAACATATACGTAAGTACTTTAATCCCATTAGCAATACCATTCAAATTTCTGATGAGACACTGTCCCTGTCCCCCTCCCCTCGTGCACCCTGCCATTAAAAATGTTAAAATTTGGGGGTATGTCTCAGAGCATAGCAGTGCCCTTACGCACACAAGCTCCTGTTTTTGTACATTTAACAACCAATGTTGCTCACATTTGTGTGTCTATAGTAATGTATTGGAAAGGAAAATGAGCCCGTTACACCATTATCATCCAAAAAGTCTGTATTTTCCAAGAGACCTTTTAGCAGTAACATCATCATGACAGACCACTCCATAAAAACTACCCAAACAAGTGACATTTTCATTGGCAAGCTCTGCTAATGGATTTCCTTTTCCACGCTTGTATCTCTTAACAGATTTGATGTAAAAAACAAAACAAAACAAAAAAATTGGGTAACATTCCATTTGCAAACAATAAAATTATTTAACATTTAAAAAATAAAACAAAGAATAGCATTTTTAAATACAAATTCAAGGAAAAACTGTCCTGGTTCCCCCAGGATCTGTTCCTTACCATGCTACCACTACCTCAGCTCCGCTTGCAGTCGGCGGGCCGGGTACCGAGACTCTCCCATCTGGAGCTCGATTAAAAGGACCGGGGCATGTGCTAGTATTACTATGTGAAGCCCTGTTGTTGTACATTCTTCACAGGAAAACATAAAACAGTTTGCAGTAAGCCAACCAGTACTCCCCTTATTCTAAATCTAAGTCATACTGAAAGTTAGGGGCAAAAAAAATCTGGCTTCAACATTCAGCTACTTTATCACACACAAAGATTTCTACTAAGAGCATATCCAGGTTGAAATACACATCCGATTTCTGTCATGAGGTTAATGCTTATGGGATGTGAGATGTAATCTACTTTGAAATAATAAACACATCACTTCTTGATGAGCAAAGTATTATTTTTAGCCTTTTGGACCAACGTGTAGTTGCTAGGTTGTTTCTCCTCAATCTTCACAGCAGAGAGTTTTCACCACTACCACAAATAAAAAGATGAGCGGTGGCAGTCACATACACCTTATCTTCAGCTAGTAAGATATTGTATTTAGCATGTTTGTTTGCATTCTGAAAAACCCTTTAGTTCATTTTTTAGGCCCCAGAGGGTTTGTACACCAGAAATTACACAAGTCAGCCACAGAAAATTGTAAATTGGTATCCACAGCGATTTTGAGGTATTCCACAAGAAACCTGGCTCTGCACCTGAATGTTCCTCTCAAAAAATCAAAAAAAGAAAAAGAACCCAAAGCCCTAGCTGGAGTGGAAATTTCATTTAAAAATTCCTTTAATCCCCATGTTTCATCACATCTGATCAACAAGGACATACTTATTTCCCTATGGGGACACCCAAACAAAAAAAAAAAAAAAGAGCCTTCTTCATCCTTTTCCTGGAATATTAATTTCAGTACTTCATTCCTAAATTTCCAGGTGCACTCAGAAGAGATGAAGGGAAAGGGGTTATTTTCTAGCCAAACCAGAGAAACACATTCAGACACTGTTTTTGGTTTATTTAATTTGTGAAGGTGCTCTAAGAAGATACCAGTGATCCCCTTAACATTGAAAATAGCAGCGGTTTATACTCTAAACTCCAGTCTGTGAGGAAGAGGCTAGGGAGAGATTTTGAGCCCAGAGTCTGAAGACCAAGTTAAGAAGAAACGGTCTCCTGGGTCTGGATTTGGCTTGATAGAACCATATCTATTGAAGCAGTCAGCATCGACAGAAGGTTGCTCCTGTCGAAGTGGAGATGCTGTTTCATAGCATGAGCAGGTTCCTAAGGGACTGGTCGCTTGTCTTACTCATAAGCTTTTCTGTTAGGGCTGAAGGGGGAAGGACAGCTTTATTCTTCAGATAACTGCTGTTCTCCTTTGAGTAGTACATTCAGAACAATTTCCAATAAACCAGAGCTGTAATGCTAGCTGTGCATAATCAACTGCCTGAAACATTTTTATTGGTTATGTTGCTTTTCATGAAAAGTAGAAAACCTTTACAATGACCTTAGAAGGAAACGATTCGCTACTTTTCGTATTTGTAGAAAAACCATAAGCAGGAATATTTTCTAAAGTGCTTCTTTACTTATCACTTACTTTTTTAAAAATTAGACTTGTATTTTGTAGCGGCATAGTTTCCTAGTAGTTCATGGACCAGTAGATAGTTTCTGATGTAAAAAACCCATTACATATTTTGTTTAAGCAAATGATGCTTGCTTTAACAAATGAACCGAAGTGAGAGATCTAAGTGCAAAACCCACCATTTCTTACAACATGGCCTTATGCTGGTTTATTAATGCAACTTTACATCCTTTAAAAGTAGTTTACTTCAATTCCAAGATCAGGGATTAAATAATACAAATAAAAGTTGAAAAGTCAATGAAGCTATTGCCTATTTACCCTGAAATAAAATAGTCTTATGATTTAACTGGTGCAAAAATCCCTCCAAACACCTTTGTTTTATTGGCAAAGTCATTTAAGGTCACTTTTGCTTCCAAGACCATCTTCTTCCATGATTTCCACTGAAGGAGTTTTGCTTTGTAATGGCTTGTGGTTCCACAGTGATTTGTAAATGAAAAGCCTACTATGAATAACTCTAGTCACTAAATTACAGATACTGTCATGAGAAAGTCAAAAACTTAGTGTTGGTTGTTGTTTTGTTTTTTTTTTTTTTTTTTTAAAATCTTCAGCAAGACACAAAATTCCAGTCCAGTTAAAGTGTTTTCTTTGAATACCATTTTAAATGGCAATAAATGGCTGCTGTGCCTTAGGGTAGGCGGATATTGTACTTCCAATGTACCCAAAGAACGGTGTAGAAGGGCTCCTGCAGGCACAGCCATTTGGATCAGCTACTCCTATGTATATAGTGCAGTAGATTTGAATCTGCGTAGAGGGAACCACAGCTGGGTGGCACGTAGCAAATGTTGAGGTTGCCTGTTCTCAGAAGGCATGACACAAAGCATCCCAGACAGCAAGAGGCAGAAGCATCTGCAACGTTGTTCTGATTCTGTCAAGTCGTAGTAGCTTCCATTGAAAGGTGGCGGTTATTGCTGAGACAGTAAAGCACTCCGGTTGGCTTTCATCTTCTCCAAGCGTTTTACTAGGTGACCATTGCTGACTTCAAGCTCTTCGGTTTTATCCAATGCTGAACGCAGCTGAAGGAAGGAAGCAGAAAAAAAACCAAACCCATGACTTTCATGTTTTCCCTTTCCAAAAATAAAGCAAAGTTTGTAGTTACCAACGCTAAGTGGCCATAGTGCTGAAATTTCCTGACAAGATAAAGAAGTTGAAAACTCCTACTAGCTGAGTTAAAAGTAAATGTTTTGTAACTGTCTGTGCTGTTGCTTTGATATTTTCTAAGCACAATGCCAAGAATCCAAGGTATTTACAGAATGTTGAACAAATGAGCCAATGTTGAACAAATGGCTCAGAGTTTGCATCAGCTTCAGAGGCATGGAAGCTCAGGTATATCTGCTGAGTGACATATGCCCGTCTCGCTGCCTGACTTTTATGTTTCTGGTTCCTGGAACTATGGCCACAGCCCTGACTTTGGTGCCTTAGTTTTCTATAAAACCCACCATGGGATGGGGGTATGGAGAGAGAGGTGGACTGCAGAAAGCAATACTTACAGGCAGCAGAGCAGAAGGAGTATTTAGAAAAAGCAAAGAGCCACATTGAAAAAAAACTCAGGAGGCAGGTGTGAAAGAAGCTGACAAACATTTAAGCTGGTTGTAGCAGCTACTTGGAGAGAACGTGAAGTTTGGCGAGACAAATAATGTCAAAGTTACAGGCAGCTTGAAGATGCAGTGTTTTAAGAGAAAGATACACAAACAGAGTCTGCAAATGGACACACTACAGCAAACGGGCATGAACAGATTGACAGAGCAAGAAAAACAAACTCAGTAAGAATGATTCGTGTCCATTTGGCACTCAAGTTTGGACCTGGAAACTTGAAACTTCAGACTGTCATTCCTGGTAAGGTGTGGCACTGTTCTTAAATAATGAAGTGTCCAAATTAACCTTACAGCAGGATTTCCATCTTTCTACTGCTATAATTTCCGAATCACATGTTCTAAAAAGACCAGTGATTTGTATTTACAAATCCAGAAATTGTAACATCCAAAGTAATGAGCCTTCAGGTACAACAAAGGACAAAGACAGGGAGGTAGAAATAGGCATTCTTCAGCTTGATGAATGTTGAACCATATGAACATTCACAGCTGCAAAGCAGCATGCAAACCTGAGCGTTTGAAGGCTGTTTCTAGATTCAAGTTGTACAAGCAGAGCTTGAGTTTGCTCCAGAGAACCAGCTCT